AAGAGAGAAAAAGAGAAAACGAGGACCCTGCAAGTTTTACATCGTGTGTATGTATGTGTGTCCTTATTTGCTCGTGTTAAAATACCGAAAACGGGGTAAAAAGGAATAGGCGATGTCGCGGTGGGAGAACATCTCCCTCATCTTCCGCGCGAATACGCGGCCACGATTTCTCTTCATTTTGGAGCAGCGCGTACACACACACACACACACACAGACAGACACGTACACACATTATTTACCCGCAGTTTATCACCATTTCCGCCGGCCTCTGGTGGTCGCCGTAACACGGCCACTGTTTTATCTCCAGTTTCCTTTCGCGCTACCCGGGGTTCCTTCACCGCTAGCTGCGCCTTCGCGGCAAACATATGCGCGTTTAGTCGGCGACCGAAACGCGCGCGCGCGCGCGAGATTCCAACTTGCGCGTAAACTTTGTGCCATCGACCAACTCTCTAACCCTTTGACCTGTTATCTCCGTCACACATTTATGAAACACATGTTTTTGCGAAATAAAGCTACTTGACTTGATTAATTATGAGGCATGATAGGGGGGAACGTCGTTGCGAGTTTAGCAACGATTTTTTAATCGACAAGAGGATCACACACAGCGATAGCATTCTCGTGACAATGACGTTACGTAATTACGAGAACTTTGGACTAAAGTCAACTCGTAGACAACGAGTCTACGCGACGCGAGCGTATTGTATTTTTATTTTTACTGGCTCTCTGAATCTTTCCTCTCTCCTTCCTTTCTTTTGTCTTCTTTTCTCTATCCTGTTTTCTGTCTACGATGAGATCGTGTTAGCAGCGCGGGAGAGCGACATGCGCGAGAAATATCCGTGGAATCTCGGCCGTAATTGCCCGACGGCCCGATGTATGTCCCTCGTTGCGGTCGACGAAATTAAACGATCTATTCGCGACGGCCGCAAAGATCCTCACGACAGGATCCGGCAAGTTGCCTGGGCCTTGTACCGCTCGCGGTACAAAGGGGATCGACTTGACCGGGAGTCACGCGACGCGCCAGAAGAGACCAAGCCAACGTGGTGCGTGTCCTTGCCAGGGTGTTCGTCAGGGAATTAATGGCCGGCTCGAGGCTATGGAAAGCATTATTCCTGTGGAAAGGCGACGAGGCAAGAAATTATGGTCTCGCGTTCATCGGGGCTCGCGTCGAGGGGGATCCCCCGTCGCTACCGTGCGCGTGCGCGTGCGGGGGAAAAACGGCGACAGAGTTGTCTGGTTTATTGGAGATTATGCCGGAGATATTGGAACGTACGCTTTCTTCCTTATGTTTCGCGCGAAGCCCTCGCGCGATGAAAGTTATCGACTATTTGATCGTCTGGAAAATATGAGAGGGACTTTATTGTTCAGCTTGCCGCGCGAGGGCGACGAGATCGACGGCGGGCGGTGTGTCGGTCGCAATAAATATATTTTGCGACTGCTGGTCGGACACGCGCGCGAGCGCGCGCGCCAAAGTTGGCGCGAGGGGAGAGGGTCCGTAAATTAGATAATTTCTCGTGTCGTAAACGAGGTGAGAAACGACGGGGAATACGTTTTTTTCATGAAAACCTCATTCGCGCACGGTAACTTAAGATAAACTTCGTCCCGAACACGAAATTTCACTCCGGACTCGATTACTAAGATATTCAACGGGGGAAATTAAAAGTCGCGGATAGTTACGAAATTACTACGAGCGGGGAGGTCCCATCGGTAATTTTCGCCCGAGGGAAACTTTTGAAGCGCGAAACTCGTTAAAGAATAACGCCGCGTCTCCGTCTTGCGTTTTACGACGAGTTCGAGCGGATTCGCCGCCCGCCACATTGCGTCAATAGACGATACTCGCGCGCCAGCGCGGTTCTACTATATATATATATATATATATATATATATATATATATTGTATATTATACGTACGGATACGGAGTCCTCCGATCATTCGGAGGAACCGTTCACGGCGAAATCTGTGCCAGATTCCCATTCGCTTTTCTCTCTTTTCCACTCGCTTTGAGACGGAGCCGAGGCGTAACGGTGCACACGTGCGTCTACATTCGGTAAGCGCGCGATGCGTTTGGCGGCGATGGGCGTGTGATGATGGTCGTCGACAGACGCGCGAACGTGTGTCCCGGGTGCGATTTGCTGACTGGCTTCCCCACGCCGCGCAGACGAAGTTAATCGGCCCCGAGATAAGGGATGACGCCTCACTTCCGCGGTAATTAGGTTGTGCGGTTCAGCAACAATGGTGATAGAGCGCGATAACGAGCAGCCCGACGTGCCCGCGGAAATGCGCCGGCGAAATGCTGGATTTATTGTTGCGACATTCTCCACGAGCACGATTCCTCGCCAGCGCCAGAGGGGTGGGGGGGGGAGGGCGGGGAATTCTTGACGATGTTACGCGCGGATGCTCCGATGGCGACGCGGCAACGACGATAATTGACTTTCGTCGCGCGATCGAAATCTCGTCGCGGGCGAATGATCGCCGCCGGTTGTGACTCGTGACGAGCGCGACAGATACGACATTAATTGATCAGCCAGATTGATTTCTTCTGCACCGGCGGGACAGAATCAGTCTCGGGTAAGAAGAGCGAGTCCCAGTTTCGCGCGTTACCTCGTACCTTCAGCTCACTTTAGAAGAGACTTCATGTTACGCGTTTCAACCGCGGCGCTACTTTGATGGTGACGCGCGGCAGAGATCATTATTACAACGTATCGCGGCGAGATTAATAAAACGACTGCGGCGGCGGCGGCGGCGGCGGCGGCGGCGAGATCGTGCCGTTGTTGTTGTAGTAGTACACGCTGAGTCGCTTTAGCGGCGATTCAAGCGACGGCGATAACACGAGCGAGTGCCGAAGCGTCACCGAGTCTCTGTGCGCGCGCGCGCGCGCGGTATCGTTATATCGGATTGATGCATTGTGCGAGAGCTTCCGCACTCGATTCGAATCCTCTCCCACTTCCTTCTCCTCCTAGCGTCCCCGCGCTGCATTAATACGCGCCACTTAAAGGGGTATTCACGGGGTAAGTCCGCGCGCGCGCGCGCGCGCGTGCGCGTGCGCGTACATATTTCCACAGAAATAAGATAAAAGTGCGACTCTACGCTTTCACTGAAATTGGATCGTGTAGCTCGGTAATAATGGTGATGTAGTGTCTCCGCGGAGCCCTATTATTACCTCATATATTACAGAGGCGGTTCTGAGGTATAATAAAACGACGGACGAGGAACGAAGCTACCTCGCGGAGCTACGGCGCGGCAACTCGCGTTGCTATCAATAATCCGTTGACTCTTAACAAAATAGAAACTTGCCGTGAGCTCGGCGGAAAACGATAATTCATCGCATCGGGGCTTCGCTGTATAATTCACGCGTCACTTGATCGTTCGCGTCGCGCGAGACACTCGATCAACTTTGCGTCCCCGTCCTTCTACGTGTTAATCAACAATATGATTATGTTCACAGAGAGCACCGCGCATCCTGCAGCTGGTGTTTCGAGCCTTTCGCTGAATATATCTGAAAGCTCTCGCTTGTCGCGCTTCGTCTGGCCAATTTATGGCCGGAGAGGAGGAGGAGGAGGAGGTGGTGGTGGTGGTGGTATCGACTGCGAATAACTTTGAATATATCGGAGCGAATGATTCTCGCGAATACTGCGCGAAAAGAGAGAATCGCTGTTTCGAACTAATTAAATTTCGCGGCTCACTAACGATGATTGCGTTATTGGATGGCTGACAGCTCAACGTGCCGCCGAGCATCTCGAGCTTGATTTACCGTGCACGGGCCTTGCTATTGCTTTCGAAGCAGAGAGAGAGAGAGAGAGAGAGAGAGAGAGAGAGAGAGAGAGAAGCAATGGAAAGCTATTGAATCGCGTGTGAATCAAAGCGCAACAACTCACAGTAATTTCCTTGCAACGCTGCGTGATAAAAGTGGGTTGCGCGAGAAGAAATTACACAAATGCAAACGGATTTTATTGTTCTTTTTTCTTTTTTTTTTTTTTTCCTCTTGTCTTTCCGTCGGAAATATGTGTTCTAATAAATTGCGTAATTGACCGATGACGCGTTTTCGAGGCAACCGCAACTATTGCGGCTGACAACAGTGTGACTTTTTTCTGACTGATGCGAGCCCTGTTGTCGGTGGGCTTCGCGCGAGACGCTTGGGGGCGTTTGTGTTGACGTAAAATTAACGAAATTTTACGATACAATTAGCGCGATAATTTGACCTGAGAGGGAGGCACTCTCTCCAAATTATAAATTGTGTGTGTGTGTGTGTGTGTGTGTCTGCTGTCCGACCATTCATTACAATATTACGCTCGATATTTTCGCGCTTTTTTGTGCCACCTTTCTCGGTTCGTTTATTTCGAGATTGCGCGAATTAGAGGCGGCAGTTTTATTTGGGATATATAGTCGAGCAAATTTCGCGTCTGTTACTGACGTGGATGTATTTGTAATTATGCAATAATTGTATAATTGGTTATTTATTTCTCTTTTTTCAAAATGTATGGATTGCAACAGAGTTACAGAGAGTCGAATATGCGAAAACGCGAGGTAAACTATGGTGGTATTGTATAAAGTCAGCGCTGTTAAATGCGCTTTTTTCTCTCACGCACGTGTGTTCATTGAAGAAAAAAGAAGAGATAAAAAGGGAAAAGAGACATCGACAGTTTGATCGACAGGCCGTGCAGCTTGCACTCGACAGTCGGAAATAATATAATATCAGAATTGGGAAAGTTACTTTTTAAAAGTAACTCGTTACCGTTACCGTTACTTTCGGTAGAAAGTAACTTGTTACCGTTACTCGTTACTGATCTTAAAAAATAACGTGTTATCGTTACTTGAAAGTAACGATATTTTATTTCGTTACTTTCCGTTACTTCTTTTTGTTGTAAATCCAGGATTATAAGAAAGGTGCTGAGACAAGATATAAATCGGGCATAAGACGATTAGAAATATATATATTTAAATATTTTTATTATTTTATGTTATTAAGTGTTGTACTTAATGAAAAGTTTCTTAATTAGTGGATATGAATTTAATAACATTTGGACATTAGTTGCCTGTTGACTTTAAAAATCTTTGCTATTCATCATAGGCAGATTTCTCATTTGACGTTTGCTATTTGAAATTGAAAAGGTCATCGCTATCGTTGTGCTTATCAGGCATCAAAAAATGTTTAATTGAAGGAATTCCTGATAAATCTTCTAAATATGTTTGCGCAAGTTTTCGCTTATCTCCGGCTAACCAACTGAATTTGAATTTGCAGTGCTAACAGCTGGCAATTATCAATTCTTCTTTTTTGAATGTAGTATTGTACAAAACCTAAAGTTAAATCAATAAAATTAAATATGAACATATTGATTTTTCTTTTCGATCAGATGAATGTTGTTTGATGAACATATGTTATTAACCAAATTACACCAACTTACCTTTCTTTTAAACCTTTCTGTATAGCTCTACGACCAATGGATGACAATATGTGAGTCTATCTTTATTGGTTCTCACTAAATCCAGCATAAAACAAAAAATGCATAGAAATTAAATACAATTAAGTTTAATTTTATAAAAATTAAAAAGTAACGGTTAAAGTAACGGACGTTTTGTTACTCGTTACAAAAAAAGTGTATCGCCGTTACTTCTTCGTTACTGACACAAAAAAGTAACGGCGTTACCTGATCGTTACTCAAAAAAGTAACGATACCAGTAACGACGTTACTTCCCAACCCTGTATAATATATAAGCACCGATTCCCTTTCTAGACGCGACGACTCTCGACTCCACCACCGCCGTCGCCTCGAATTAGCGCCAACGAAATTTATTCGCGATACGCGCGGATTCCGCGCGAGATCCGTTACCGGCGTTACCTGCATATGGATGAACGACGTGTTCCCGGCCATGTCGCCGATGTTAATCGTCGCCGGGATAAGGGCCGACGGCTGCGTCGCATGGCAATTAGGTTATGTGACGCAATAACGATAACGATGACAATTATAACCGTGTCGACGAGGTGATAACCGGCGGTCCTGCCTCGCGCATCCGCCGCTCGTACGCCTCCAACTGTTTCACGTGTCCGCCTTCTCCGTTCATCGTGCCATCGACTATCGCTCATCGAGATAATCTTTGCGGGACAATGGGCCCGATAACTCGTTATTGACGCGACGACGACGACGACAAGGAGGGGCAGCTCGAGGACGACGGCGATATTCGATCGATCGATCGAGAGCCGTCGACTCTTGCACGCGGTTATTTATTAACGGACCGCGACGCGCGCGAGTCGCTCGTGCGTGAATTATCGTCGCGAACCGAACGAGAGAGAGAGAGAGAGAGAGAGAGAGGGAGAGAGAGAGAAAAAGAGCAATTTACTGCTCGCTCGCGTGAACGAGCGAATCTCTTCATTCGCTTGTTCGTCGCGGCCGATTGATCGTGCTTCACGTCGCGTTGGATTTATTTCGCTCGGTCTTGGTTGGCACGATTTTTCTTGTCGCACAAAACGTACGTTATGACGTCGTTTAGATGCTTCGATAGCGGGAACGTACTGCGCGCGACGACACACCGGCTATTCTCTGCCGGCTGGGTTGTGCAGAAACGTGAAACAGTTTTCCGATCATTATGGTGGTTTCTCGCGATTTTTCGCGTTTCATTGGTAATTGACGCGGCATCGCGATGACATTGTCGAGTTTACAGAGAAACTATACGTTTCGTCTCTTTCATACGTGTGTGTGATCGTGACATCGCCGATAGTGCCACTTAAAAACTTGATTGACCGGTCGGCGATCCAGATATTCGCCGCTCGGACAAAGGGACGGCAACAAAGCAGTTTCGCGGACTTTGGGACAGTCCTTATCGCGTGATGTGTGTCTGTGTGTGTGTGTGTATGTACCATAACTCGGTGTTCTTATAAAGTTTCAAACGGTGCGTACTGGGCATCTGCATTTGATGTATCCCTCGGGCGCTACAAAAATGTTAATAATGCTTCGTTTCATTATCTTATCTCGCCCACCGGGATGGATCAAGGTACAATGAAAATCCCCGAGAAGAATATCTCCGGGGTGCAATGAAAAGCCTCGACACAAGCCGACATTTTCCTTAATTACATCGCTGTGCTTACAGCTTATGCTGGGTTGATACGAGTAAGCAAAATTCATTCTTGATTCATTCGCGCACGCGTGCGTCAGTTTCTTTTGTCCATATGCGTCCATTGGGTCGTGCCTACAAGTTGGATTAATTACGCGGCCAGTCTGATAAATTATTTTTATCAATCGTCGTAATATCACGGTAGTTACTCCGAAAGTTGGGCAGACGATCATTTCCACGAAAATTTTACTTTCAGTAGTATCTTTCGAGAGAAGAATCATTATCATTGTCATCGTCCGAAGCGTATATGACTCATTACGCCGATAAAATATATAATTGTGGTGATAATAAGTAGTGATGATACAAGAATTATACCAGTACACGCTAATCAGCACTTGGCCTTGGGATCGTAACGCCGCCGTTTCTACTCAACCGTTGCTCGTCCGATCGTGAAGCGGTCATTTCCCCGTCGTCTAATTATAACGTGCTTGCTTTTACTCGGCCACGATATAACACACGGCAGCTACTTGTTTCTCCGTATTTTGCTTCGCCGTAACAAAGCGGCTGTTACGACTTACATCACGACACATTCCCGTCTCTTTTTCTACTCGACGTCAAAGCACGCGCTACGATTATGACAACGGTTCATCCTTCTCTCTCTCTCTCTCTCTCGCGCGCGCGCGCGCGCTCCGCCGGAGGCGATCCTCGCACCTTGTAACTAGACTATCGTCGTCGCGCGATTTCATGCAAATTGGAGCTCGCATAATTCTCGGGGTTGTGCCAATTACGTTCGCTACAGCGATCATGCGCATTGGATTCGAGCGCGCCTTCTCCTCGCTCCTCGATTTAACACACCGGGATATTTTTCTCTCTCTCTCTCTCTCTCTCTCTCTCTCTCTCTCTCTCGTGCCTTTTTCGTTTTTTCGTTGTACTTTCGTACTTTCGCCGGAATTTCGTACGTGACACTTGCACCGATCGCTCGCGCTGTCGCGCGCCGTTTGTCATGTATCTCCCACGGGGGTACGTTCCCCGTATGAATCGTAAATCTCGCGGTGGATTTTTAAAGACTGTGCTCCTCGCTCCTGGGTCGGGTCGCGACCGACATTCGCGAGCGAGCGAATCTATTGCGATGCAACCGATGCAACGGGTGCGCCGCCGCTGCACCGCTGCATCTAAATGCAAGCCCGCGCGAACCCGAAACGTTGATTACCGACGTACCTTTGATTGCACCGGCGCGCGTTACGCTAACTCCCTTTATTCCCCGATCGCGTATTAAAGGCCTGGAGTAGGCATTACGCGGCGGTCGAGTTGGTTTATGGCATGGCGTAAGTGCGGCGTATATACGCGAGCGCATAAATTCTGGCTCCGGCCCAGCGGGGGGACATCGACAACAATGGTCGCGCGAGCGCGAACGCGTTGCGCGTCCACTCTTGAACTTTGCCGTCAAACTTTCAGCCCCCCCCCTCCCCCACATATACCGCCGGTAGTTTTCTCTCTTTCTCGCCTTGGACGCCTTGGAGAAAATAACGCAGTGAAAATTGCACACATTTCTTTCGTAATCTTGCATCATAGAGAAATATATTCGAAATTGCTACGCATTTGTTGGAAAGTGTTACGCCTTTTTACTTTTCTCAAGTTGAGCGTAAAATTCTGAATTTCACGACGAGAGGAGAGTGAGACGAGAGCTTGTATATGCTGCAGGAAGCGCGGCTTTCAAGTCGGGATGGGATGCTGTTTTGTTTTGCTCTGTACTCGGCGTATTACGGTCGACGCGAGAGCAATGTGAAAATTTAACCATCGCTCTAAAGTTTATTATGTAGAACTTTAGATAAGGCGCAAATTGAATAGGGCATCAGAGGGTTAGTGTCCTCGGCAACTGGGGCAGGGTAGATCCGCGGTAATTAATAAAATTAGGGTCGATCGAGGCGCAACTTGAAAGTTGCTGCTATTCCCGGCCGTGCGCATCGGATTGATCCAGACAGATATTAGTTTGCTACAGCGAGCAGTGATAATTACCAATATTAATTTTATCACTCGGTTATTCGATACGAGATTACAACATACGCGGTCATTATTACCGTTGATATTACCACCACACACACACACACACACACACATACACACACACACCTTGTTCCATTTTTTCCCTTCATCTTTGATCAAATATAATGTAAAGTAAAATGTAAATTTACAAATGTAAATTGTTGCTTGTGTAAAAAAATAAACATGAGGATCGAGAGGAAGGCAACGTTACTACGCTACCACGTCAGTCGATTCTGACAAAATGGCAGAATGGGAACGACGCCGAGAGTAATTTCGCGCCTCGCTGAATCTATCGGTCGAAATAAAACGTCAAAGTATTGCATAAAGTATTGAATTGCATAATTCAGCAGCGGTCAGAAGTAATCGCGAAACAACGTTGCGTGCGCGCACGCGCGCGCGCGCGTTTCCTCCTCCGCTCTCACAAGTTCAGACGTATCGACGATCTTCAAACATATTGCTCTAATTTGCATCCTCAATGAAGGCGCTGAAGGGAAAGAGAGTGGAACGTACGCATCTCACACACACACATACACAAATTCGCGCGTCATAATCGTGACAATAAACCGGATAGTCGCGCTTCCCTCTCCCTCCCCCTCCCCCTCCCCCCCTCGCCCGCCGCAATTCTCGCGGAAGAGAGACGCGCCGTGTAAAACCCACACACGACTGCGACTGCAACGCGCATCGCATCGACACACGTCTGACACGTAACGGGCCAGCGCCCGTCATTTATATGAGCGTGAGGGTGCGAATAGACTCAAGTGAGGGTGCGGGACGCCGCGAATGGAGGGAGAGCACCCATCGCACTGCTCGATAGGGTTGCGAGAGGAAGCGCGACGTGTGTGGGTGGGTGGTGGTAGATAGGTGGGTTGGGTATAGTCGGCAGGTAGCTAGGGTAGAAATGGAGTGACAGTCGTCGAGTAGTTGCGGACCGAAGAGGGGAGTAGATAACGTTAAGTGCATTACGTTGCTGCACCGGCTTCGTGCTTACACAACGACTGTCTCTACGTCCTCTATTTTACACCCACCTACGTACACGTCCATACTCACTCTCGCACTCGTACACACACACACACACACACACACACACACACAGAGATGTTCGATGCGCTCTTGATGCGGGCGAATAGAGCGCGGTCTATGCGACCAGTCAGTGTGTGCGTGCGTACGTGAACGCGCCTATTTCTTTCTTCTTCTTTCACTTTATTTCTCTCTCTCTCTCTCTCTCTCTCTCCCCCTCTCTCTCTCGCCCTCTCCCTCCCTCTGCTTTTCCTCACCCCCGACTCTATCTCTCCTTCTTCTTTTATAGCCTCTCGTTCCGTCTCGTTTATCGCCCTCTGTCGTTTCCTTTCGTTTCTTTTTTCCAGAGTTGGTTCCTCCCCTCACTCTCTTTCTCCGGGCTGCGTTAACTCGCCGGGCCCTTTACGTATCATTGCCCGGCCGAATCGACCGAACAGCTCCCCTCTATTGCCTCTATCGGATGCTCTCCATCTGCCGGTTCATGTTGAGTTTCAAAACAAACGGGCTATCCGGCGCGGCGGGCCGTCGGGGTTGCTCTATATACGTATCGGTAGTTTCGACATTCTAACGCGCACGCCTCTATTTCCCTTCGCTTTTACAGCCGGCTTTGCCAGCCTCCGCGGGCAGGAGAGTGTTTGTCTTTTGCCGCATCGTTTTTCTCGCGTCGCTTTTTGCCGCTTTGCGCTCGTACGTCGTTTGTCACGCAATTTGCGAATTTTCCTGCTTATTTTCGGAGCCGCCGCGCGAACGCGACTGCTATTATCGTAGGAATGGGACAAGGCAGCGGAAAGGGTGTAGTTTCTGGTGCGCTAGTACTATCGGCGAGTATATACGAGGTGTCATCCAAATGACACACGCTTGTCTCCGCTGGTCACACATTTCTATATTTCTTGTATTTATGTCAAGTGATCTAGCTCGATTTAATTTTGTTCAAGTTGACGATTTCGCAATTTCACTTACGAGTGTATCTTTCGCTTCCTTTTGTTG